ATTAATTCCATAATTTTTCTTATTTATTGAAACACAGCCTCTATGATGAAACCCCAGAGTGTGACCCAGTGGCTGTCAACATGCACACCATGCCATCTACTCTACCTTTTGTGATGCTTCTATGGTTATTCCTACTAATTTATCGGTGATTTTTTCCTGACTTAAAATGCCATATCTCTATTGACCTTAGAAAAATATATTATTGAATCTGGAAGATTCACAAAGAAATGTCCTTATCAGTACACAGGTTAAATTGGGAAATTATGTTGGAGATAAGACTGAAGTTGTAGTTCCTAACTACAGAATGAAGGAATACTTACATTTTATATCAATGGAAATGCTGGTCAGATTGTCAGGCGGTTTGTTGTATGGCTAAGTGATTATGGGCTGAGGGAAAGAAAATTCTAGCCAACTGGCCCTGAGGTATTGGACAACTGTAAGGCTTGGATTGCTTTCTGGCTTTGGTTTATTTTTCTTTCTCTGTAAGTAAGAACTATCAAAACGAGTAGCAATAGCAACTCTACCAACCCCAGGATGGACTCCTTCTCTAGGTACTCAAAGTACCTGTGGTGATTAGATGCTTACCCTTTCTAACTTTGACCTATTGTAGGTCTCATTGCCTGGGGGCAAAAGAAAGTTAAATGGCTATCTATAGGTGTTGTGGGAGCTAAAATGGGCAGAGATGGTCAGATTGAAACACTCTCTTCCAGCTCCTGTGTTATGTAAGATTTTGGCTGGTTCTCTTTTGTTTAGTTAAAACAAAACAGTGGGAGGCTGAAGTGGCACAGTGAAGTACTTTGTAATCTGGTAAAGGTAGGTCAGAAAACAGCTTCCACTGAACAGGTATAATGTAAATAAAGCCAGTTATAAAGTTGTGCTGGGGCATTTTTTCTCCTTTGTTGAAGGGAATGAACTGCCCTATGCTGGCCATCCTTAACTCTTAAATATAATCCTTCAATGGTTGCCAATTTGGTTTTGGTAACTGGATCTTAAAGGAGGAACAGTGGTCAGTATTAACAATTTGATTGTCTCTTAAATATCTATGAATTGATAAACATTTTAACTGACACATATATCAGCTGATCACTGTCTTTGAAAGATGAAATCTGATTCTATCATAATGGGACTATCTATCTTGTAACATATGAGGTATTTCACTGCTTGCAACCACTGAAAAAGGAAAATTTGTTCTAGAAACCTGCCTGGGGTGTGTGTGTGTGTGTGTGTGTGTGTGTGTTTGTCTTTTATAGTGGTGATTAATTTAAAAAGCAAACAATCTTTGCTAATGATCTTGTTAAATGATAAAGCTATTCTACTCCTGTTCAGTGCTGTTAGCTGAGGTTGACCTGTTACTTGTTACTAGTCTTCTCTTTTGGTGACCTGTAGCAAACTAGAAAGCCTCCATAACAGCAAAGCAACTTTATGCTTTAGTTAAGACTTAGAGCAAAAACACCCTCCTTTTCAAAGCCTTAGAAATAACTCTCTCTTATTAACTTTTCCACTATTATCACAGACTTCTTACATTTAAAAAAAGCTCCATGGATTCCTTTCATGGACTATGTACATAAGTGCAAAAAAGGTGTGTCTCACACATCCGCACCCTAACTGAGACAGTCAATTAACTGCAGCATATGTTTCTTAAACACTGTTAAGGGGTCATTCCACAGTATCTTTATGTATAGTTTTAAAAATATGAATTAATTTCAAAAGAGGCTTTAGTCATGCTTTAATCCTCATGTGGATATATTTGTGTATGTAATTCCAGAAAACAGAATTTTTGCAGCTACTGCTATGCCACTTGAATAAAGTAATTTTGAATAAATTTATAAAAAAAAAAGTCAGGTAATGTATTACAAATGCAGTGACTGTGTTTTGAAGTCTCAATACTGTGGAATAACCCAATCCACACAACAAATTCTATAAACTACTAAGCCTGATTCTGGAATCCATGTGTTATAAACTTTTTCACAAAAAGTCACACAAGGACACAAATTCAGCTTTTATATATGGGCCTTCGGGATTAAAAAAAGGACTCAACCATGTCTGTCTTCAGAGTTTTGAGCTGTATGTTCTACATGCTCATAGTGTCACAAACTACCTATAGTTTACAAGTAAAATGTTCAGACACACAAATGTCTAAAGGTAGCCATGTTGTAGTTTTGTTGCCAAAGCAACAACTAGATATAATTAGTTAACAATGATTATTTGTATATAGAGTTACATTTGTTCTTAAATTGTGAACTGTGAAGGAAAATTTTGGACTATAATCTGTATCTTGTCATACTTCAGTGTCAGTTTAGAACCTAGCTAGGTGAGCTGAATCCATGCAGTAAAAGCTTAAACTTTCTTTAACTTTCCTTCAAAATTAAATTCATTAGTTACTTAGAGCTACAGAAAAGCAATAAAATAAAACCTTAAAAATGCATAATAAGAAAAATAAAAACATGGTACCAATTAGTGAGTTATATTTACATTTTGATTAGGCTAGCAACTAAATTTACAAAGAAGTTGTTATACTCTTGGACACGATATTTATTCTAGTGCTTTCTATAGGCACTGGTTAAACAAGGCTACTGTCTATTCATCAGAATTGGGAAATCAGATTTCCCTAATAAATTTTACCTATTTCTATTTCAATCTGTGTGAAATGTATTTGATAGAAAATGAATGAGGATTTCAGTTTCTAATTATTGTGTACCTCATAGCCTACCCTACAGACTAAAGGAACTCAGAAAAGTTGTGGCTGCATCTTACCTAAGAGCATCTTCATGTATACTCTTCAAAGGGGGACAGAGAACCAAATAACATTTCAAGTAGCATGAGGACTTTCTCTCTTATTTAATAAAATGTAATGTAAGTATCATTCATTATTCAGACATCACTATGCTTTTGGTAATACTACTTAAAACAGATTCAATTTGCAAAGATCAATTTCATTCGGTATCTGCTGATGGTAGGGAAGAGGTACTTGCTTTTTCCCACATTGGAGAGCAGGTGATTTGAGGCCCTCCTATTAGTGAACACCGCCTAGTGGTAAAGGACAACACTTAGGGCAAGATCAAAGTGCTTCAGCATGTTCAAAAATGGATGGAGAAAATTGATGGAGTAGAGAGAAGATGACTTTCCACATCATGATAAACTACAAATTAAAGCCCCTGATCTAGAAAAGTGAAATGAAATGCCACAGCTAGTTGTGGAATCATGCTCCAGTTGCAAAAGTAAATACTGTATTTAAATAGCAATTTTATGAATCCATTTATTTTAATTTAATCTTAATCCCTCTTTAAAATATACGTATGTTATGGTCACGTAGTACTTTTTTAAAAAGTTGACGCTACTAAAACCCTCTTAAAGATAACTTTTAGATTATTTTCTCTGTATACATGACCCTTTTTATCCAAGTTTCAGCACTCTTGCATATTTTTGCAAAAGGCTGAGAAAAATGGATGAAAGCAATAATTTTGGATAAATAAAAAGAAGCCCCTGTAAAATATAAAGCTTATAAAATGTTAACTAAGAATCATAAGTGATTAGAATTTTATATATACAATTCATCCAGTAAATTTTTGTTTAGAGTCACTGATTCGCTTTGTGACTTGTCTTTTTAAATGGAAATTTATAGTCTAGTGACTTATCTTTCTTCTTTTCTTTCCTTGAATAAAGATAATTTGAATAAGTCATTGCACATCTAGTTTAAAGAGTGCCATATTAAAACTGTATTTTTTTCCTCAAAATTCTTGAATTTGATCAAAACTTTAGGGCCTTGAGATTTCTTTCTTTCTTTAAACTCAGTTACAAAGTAACTTTTAAAATGCCAACGGTGTAGAAAATTGTGGCACCAAAAATACAATCACCCTAAATATCTCTCACTGAACTTTTTACTAAAAAGTAAGTCATTGTTAATGTCTTCCAGTGGTTAATGCAACATGAAAACAGCTATACTCTAGGTTATTTATGGTCTATGAAAAAGTTAAGTGAGATAGTATGTTGCATGCAGATTGCAAACTATACAAAAGTTCATTTTGCACAAAAAAAGTTCTTGTCTCTTTTAGGAAATATATTCATACTACCTCAGGTGCATCCCTCCTGGATTCATGTAATCAGATCTACTCTTCTGGAGAGGCACCGGCATAGATCATACAAAACTCAGTTCCATACATGAGGAATTTCAAAAAGGCATATGCTACTTTCTTCTATAGCAATGTTAAGATTTCAGAAACAGAAATTAACTGGTTCAAAGAGTCCATAGGTAAAAGTCAGGACAACTCTTGATCTCTAATCCCACGCAACACTGTCAACAGCTGACAATGGATCAATATAAGCAAGGCTGTTTAGAAAACACTGTTGATCAAGATTTGGATGGATAATTATGATCAACAGAATATCAATTCCCAGAAAGCTAATTTTGCTCTCTTGTATTCTGAGCCAAATGGGTCTGCCTTGGGAGAGAGCCTCAAATGTTCTGAAGCACAAAAAACCTGGAAAGAAGGAACAATTGGAGGCAGGAGATATTTCTGGGTTCCACAATGGCTAGGTAGCCTTGGGCAAGTCATATGCCCCTGACCTCAGTTCTATCAACACTGAAAATCATTTTGCTAACTCCATTGTTCTGTGATTCAAACACTTCTAGCCAGCTTAAGGCATCCTCAATCAGATTTACTTTTTACTTGTCATGGTTTTATACTTTCTGGTGGAAGAACACCTATTTACTAGAAAATGTTAAATCTATTAGTTGATGTAAAATATCGTATGTTTCCACCACTGTATAATAATAATAACATTAATAACTGAGTGGAGTGGATAAGATATGTCACACACCACAGGAATTAATTACTATTTGATTATAAAATTATTTCATAAGTATTAATAATGTGAATTCAGTTGAGCTCTGTGGAGTATAACTACTCTGTCTCATCCAAAGGGTGCTAAAACCCTCTTTATTGTCATTTTCAAACATATATAAAGGCAATCGAATCCAAACAAGCAAAAAAGAGGCATGGTTATAATGTGAGAGGCTCTAATGTTAAAGTTTGGTCAGGGGGACACTTGCCATATATCACAGATGCTTTCTCCTCCGCTGAACTGTTTAGCAAAATGAAACTCAGTTGAACTGAAGCTAAAGACAACTACAACCATCTTTCCCAGTTCTTTTGAATCAATCAAGAAATAATTGTAAATGCTTCCCTGCTCCTGTCCTAGCCATTTCTCCAAACCTGTACTCAGGCTCCCTCTGTGATCAATACAGAAGATAGTCCATTTGGGGAGGAAAATCCTCATTTGTAACCAATTCTCTTTCACCCTGACTGACTTTTGCTAGATTGCGTCTTATTTGTTATTCAAAGAGTAGTCTAAAGAGCATGAGCCATTTGCATTTGGAAAATGGCACTTGTGTAAAAGGTGACACAGCCATGGTTTTACACGCTTTCCTCCAGTACGTAAAAACTATCTCCACGCCCCCATCTCTCTGTTAGATTTATAACTTGTAATTAGCATATTTTAAGCTCCCAAGCATCAGTTTCTCAGCTGAAGATGACAAATGGCTCAGCTTTAGACACTCAACCTAGGAGACAGGATTCTCAAGCCACACACACACAAATCTAATGAGCACTTTACATAACTTTTAGTATAAATGCCGAGAAATTCATTTAAAGGTAAAATCTTATTTTCCAAGCTATTTAAGAAAAGTGAATTAGGGGTTAATGTTTTATGAAGTTCTCTGCTTTGTGCAGGTAATTATTTCTCTCTTTAAAAAATCTAGCAATTTGATTGTATTATGCAATGTAAGATCTGCAGGTACAAATTACACACATGCATGTTAATGAGCAGGTTTTGTGCACACTCAAAAGTGAGGCATTTTAAATGTCAGTCCCAAGAAACCTACAGAAATATTCTAAAGAGAGAGAGAGCATATTTGCATGAAACTATCATGTTTTTAAGCATATACTTTTGTTCCCCACTAATAACATTTCAGTTGAAATCAAACACCACACATATACAGCAAAACACTACAGCATGTAAAAACCTAACATAGCACAAAACAGTACAATACAAGAAATGGTACTGAATATATTTGTTAACATCCTGAATCAACCCAATAGACTATCTTGTAAACAAATTCAAAAACAGATGAATAATTTAGCCACCAAGAATGCATACAGTAAGCCAATAGCTCACTCTGGAAATTCACTTAGCATGGTTATTAGAAAATGACAAAGAGTAATGTAACAAGTTACCAAATTTTATGGTCATGTTCTGCTTGATAATTCAAATAAGATGGATGGTAGTTATTAGTTTTCTATTCATGTTCTGTTTTAACATCTCCATTGATTTTTAATGCTTTATTTTTTATTTGAATTTGCTGGCTGGCAGGTTTGCTTTGCTTAATATATTGACTGTACCACGCTTATTGTAGTGTTGGTAGAAGAAGAAATACAAGAATATATATAGAAAGGCCATATGGAGGTTTCCATGGAAAGATTCTGATACTCCATAACTCTGCTGTTCAGTATTTCAGCTGAAATGGAAAAAAAAAAAAAAAAAAAAAAAAGACAGAAAAAAAGAGTGAGAAATATTGAAGGGTTACTGAACAAATAATCAATAGAGTGCAGGTCTTGTTCCAGTTGTGTCTGTTCAACAGTGCCAAAATATCCTCACTCTGAATTTCACATTGAAATGGGACTACTGAGAATAATCATGAAAGAGCCATGTATATATGATAGTCTATGGTACTTTTTGAGTGCTAATGTGGAGAACTGCCCTAAGCTAATAGAGACACACTCCAACGTTAAAGGCATTATCTATCTACTCAGTGCCAAAACTTTTCATTGGATGTCCACCCATGTGTCCACCTCTTTCAACTGGCATGTACAGAGAAAACATGTTTGCTACCAAACATTTTGAAATATGCAAATATTAAATACACTTTCAACTTTTTCTCTGAATGTTTTAGAGCCATGCAGAAATAGCCTAATTGTGAAATCTGGGCATTGTATTGTACAAAATTACATTTTTAAACTTTAGAGACATTTTCGGCACCAATTACATTTTGAAGTGATTATGTTCCACCAAATACCTCTATATTTGCTAACAAAATCAAGCAAAAAGGAATCACTCTTCCCAAACATGCTCTGTTGAGAAGTTAATTTGACAACTTTTGTTTACCTTGATGTAAAGCAACACATGAAAGTTGGGCAAATGTTGGCAAAACCTACATTCTCATGTTTAGTGCTATTCCCAAGCTGCCACTATACCAAATGACACCCCTGGAAATGATTACAATTTATAGCTCCTTCATTTATCCCATGTACTCAAAGGTATCTTTTAAAATCCTTCCTTATGATCGAGGGGACATGTTTATTTAATGTCCAGTCAGCTATCAGCTCTGTCCAGAACACTTAGTGTTCTGAGCTCGTGTGTCCTCAGCAGGAAAGAAGGGCTAGCTGGGATCTCGGGAATTAGTTCACTAGGTAACAGAACTGCTGCCTCCTTCAGCCAAATGACACACTCCAGGTGTGAGAACTTCAAACTTTCGATGACGAAGGTATGCAATTCAGAGTTGGTACACTATTTTAGTAAGTCCCTAGAATTAATTAAAATACCCAGGAGTCTTCAGTGGCTTCAGAAGTCACATGTTCTAAGTGAATGGTTGCTCGAATGAAGTGTGTGCCATAATGAGCACCAGGCAATGAGGAGATCGAGGGTAAAGGAGGAAAAAAAAAATGCCACAACAACAACCAAAATTTTTAAAAAGAGACATGATTGGAATGAAAATAATGACTCAATTACTAAATTATGTCACTCAAAATTCAAAACAATGTCACATGAGAAGCATAGTCCTTACTGTGTTTAAGATAATCATCTCAGTGAAATCCTGAAATTTGATTTTCAAAAAAAAAAAAAAAAAATGAAGCTATAAAATGGTTAAAGAATTACTACTCAAAAGTAATCTGTGCCTATGGCTAAGAAATCATATTCCTTTAATAACAGGAAAACATTCAAGAATGTGTAAGCTCATTGGGAAAAGACAGTACCATCTGTCATTGCCATATGAAAAATATTGCATATTTGCTCTCACATTTCAATTTGGAAAACGTATAGTGTGTAAATCAAACTCTAAGTCACAAGAAATGTCTATTAAAGAAAATATTTACTAAAGCCTTTTAGTAAGTGCAATTGTGCAAATAAAAAAGGTAACCTATAAATGTTATTTATATTAATACTTAAAGAAACTTACTGTTCTACTGGGAACGTCTACATCTGTGAAACAAACATGCTGCTATTCAGTTCATCTACTGATAATTGGGGCATCTATAGTAGTAAAAAAGATTTTAGATTAAAATAGTTTCTTGAGATAATTCTGTTTATGTTGTTATATATGTGGAACTGTTAGTCTATAAGTATGGTTACCACTTTAATAAGGCAAAATGGCCCTAATATTATACAATACTTATTCTATGTATCTCCTTATAATTTGAATACTCCCCCCAGACTTATAATTTGCCTTGTGAACTCTGCCTAGAAATATCTAAAGCAAATAAAATCAAAGAAACAAGCGCATCTAATGTCCATATGAGAAGGAACTTCTAACGCGATCACTGAGAAATGGTAAGGATATCTGTGTCTTGGAAAGAAATGTGATATTTTGTTTTCTTTCCAGTGGATTTGAAGGGAAAGGTGATGACTGTACCAAGCCAAAGTTTAAACACAATAATAAAAAATGGCAGTAAAATAAAATAAATTCTTCTCTTGACCAATGAGGAAGCATTTAAGAAATATTAAGTATATACATTTGAGGATTGGTCTGTTACCAACAATTAGATATAGAATATGAAGAGCGACATCTGGTAACCAATTAAAAATGAGCAAAACTCCACTGATTCATCTTGGAATGAATAGCAAAGCACATACAGCACTCTAGAATATACACACAAATAAAAACTCTAAATGTGACAATGGCTTAAGAAACACACAAGAATCTCACCAATCCGAAAAGCATATACTGTGCTTTACCAAAACATTGTAGTTATCTCGATCTGAACAGCTGAAATAAATGGCCAAACCTGATTGCCTGTAGTTGTTGCAGCGAAGGGAACGCTGGTGGCAGGTGTTGTTGCTGCAGACACAGCGGTAGGTGTAGCACCGTGCATCATGGGCACTTTCAGTTGAAAACCATAGAAGCAACACACAGGAGCGTGGAGGATTTATGCAACCATGACATTTATGATGGAATGAGGTGTGGTAGGTATCACAGCAACAAGCAATGTGACATCATAATGACGAATACATCAGGGTGTTCATGCAATCACAGTCAGTGCAAAGCAACACAGCATGGAAGGGGGAAAATTAAAAAGAGAAAAGGGGAAAGCCAATTATAGTTACCAATATGGAATATGGAACCATTCTCAACATTTAGTAAGTTTTCGAGCAGAATCCCATTGTAGTTTACTCAAAAGCCTAAATTTTTAGAAGGAGCTATAATGAATGCATATGAAAACAAAAATCTGATGTTACAAGGGCTATCTATCTATCTGAAGCTAAACAGACAAGTAACTGGATTGCACATTCAAAATGGAATTAGGGAATCATAAATTGGAATTTACGCTCACTGACTTACGGACATGAATGCTGTCACTAGATTTGCAAGGGCAAATGGACAGTTATATGTATACTTACCTCATCTTCATGCAAAGACATGGTAAGTGGACTGGTTGGTATGTGGCAGGGGGGGTAGATATGAATAATACAGTAAACTATGCATGCAGGGTTTTAAGTACATCTCTAGCAAATGCCTAGGAAACTTTGGCCATTTATCAAATACATAGAGTACTTCATAGTAAATCTTGTCCTCACAGCAACTATTACAGCTACAATGGTTAGTAGCTGTGAAATCTCTTGCAGGATGTTTTCTCTTTGCCTTTTCTAGTTCCTATCTCATTTAGAAAGTGTTCGGGCTGCTTTCTGATGTCTAGCTCATTTCAGAAAGCAAACTAGGGAATTAATGTGTGAATGGCAAGCATACATATGTAATAATTTATCATGTCTACAAAGATTAAATTCAGATTTTCTGAAAATCTACAGAGAAAATGAATGGCCAGAGAGAGAGAGAGAGAGAGCACGCGCGCGAGAGAAATTGACATGTGCAATGCCACAGAGACTGAGAATGTACCCCAAATGGTGATTAACAGAAACTCCATAGTTATCCCTTCTCCTTATCTCTATATCTCTAGTTACCCATTGCCCAGAGCCATCCCTGTTGTCTCACATGCCAATTCTAAAAACACTCTTGTTTTCCCTTTGGGAGTGCAGTAATTGTACAGGAAGCAGACTCACTAAAGAATGCAGTTTGCATTCCTAAGCAGAGCTCTGAAAGTGAATGGACAAGGGAACATCTCCAAGAAAGCTCACAAAATATGAAGGCAAAGACACATTTCTCAAACTTGCAGAAGTCTAATTGTATACATTATGATGACAATGTATACATATTGTGCTCCTGTTGGTATTAATAGAAATGTTTACTATTCCTACAGAAGACAGCCAAACCCTCAGTTAACAGGGACCTCACCTCAATTGCCAGGGTTCAGACCTCACTGTGTTAGTGAGTGCTGCTACTATGTGGTTGCCATTTTGACCTTTATTCTCAAGAAGCCTCTTAGTGGTGCCTTTGAGGATCTGTATCTACTCTGGTCCACCAAGGTGACAAAAGTCAATTTGTTGCAAACTCTCAAAAGGGTGGGGATGGCCTGGATTGATATGAGATGGTAGAATGGGACAGGGTGGGATCATTTCTCCTTGCATAAAACAGCGCTATTTTCTCCTGTTCCTGGTGCCCATGAGGACTGTAGGAGCTGTGAACTCCCCATTCCTTTCTCATGCTCTTCAGTATTAGTGCTGAATAAAATGGTTTGGAGATGATTACCATATTGCGTTAGTGGCTAACAAAAGGATCTGTGTGCAACTGCTTGTTAAAAAATCACATAACACCCAGAGTCATTTAAAAATGATTCTGTTGTGCCTAGCTTCTGTGCTAATGGCGCTTCAGACTAGGACACTACAGAATTCATTACAGAACACTGCAGAATGCTCTGACTTTGCTGAACTTATCCTCTTGCAACATGGGAACACTGAATGCTTTAAATCCTATAGATAACTTTTTCAGGGAGGAATTGTTTCATTGTACTTTACGAGTTAGACATTTTAAGTATTTTACAATTTTTAAATAATACATGTTAAGCAAAGAACAAAACTGCCCAGTCTGGCTAGTTTCAAATATTGAAAAAGGAACCTTTTAAAATATTTCAGTTGCTATTGTTAGGGTAGAAAGAGAGAAATGACAGGGCCAGAATTTGGCCACAGTGGCAACCAACCAGGACTTGAGAAAGCAGGACTATTTTGATGCTACAAAGGCATAAAACAGAAAGCACCATGTTAAACCTTAACATACCCAGAAAATTTCCAGCCACATCTTTCAGTCATTCATCTTTCATAGTCACAACAGAAAAACACATTTTTCAGATTAGAAAATGTTGAGAATTTTTGTAGAAAAACCTACCAATACTTGAAGCGGGTGCCATGCACAGGATTGGCCCTGTACACCATGCAGAAAAGCATGGAAAGTAAAGAAAAAGAGATATTTGATTATTAAGAATTTACTGATAGAAATACATTTATTTTAACTAGAAAGATTATTTCTTTGCAGTATCAATTACTCAGCACATGCAAGTCCAACAATTTCCCATGTTTACAATTACAGATTAGCTTTAAGATCAGAAACCCAGGTAATCGAAATAATTCTTGGATTCTTAGGTACAAAATGAGCTATAATTTTTCTGTAAAAGAATCTGCTCACTTAAATTACATATTTATTGTGGACAAATGCATCCTAAATAATTTTTATCATAAGAAAGATAATTTAAATTTATTATACGTATCATTTTTAAAATACACTCCAGAATCTTGTATCTGGTGTCTGTATTTCTGTTTAGAGTATTAATCTGTTAACACTGTCTCCTCCACTGTCTCATAGTCAGCAGGACTTAACTATGAATATATGGCAAACAGGCTTTCCCTTAAGAGAGACCTCTTAGCTGGACAGGCTTTTATGTTGCTACTAATTAAGGGGAAGGGAATTTTTCTAACATTTTTGCTTATAAAACTAGATTTTATGTTGGCCAAATCTGGCAAAAAGTTCAAACTTGGAACCAAAGTAACTGTAGTATTAAGAAAACCTATAGTGAACATACATTTTATTATATTCAACCACCTTGACTACTGAATTCATTCCATAGCTATAATACAAATTAGAAGTAGCCAAGGTAGAGTGATCTAACGTGTAGGTAAGTTACCATAATTTTTGAAGAAAAAAAATACCAGGAATAAAGTCATATCAACTCATACTGGTTTTATTTTTGCTGAGTGGACGTTGTATGGTTTTTTTCTTAGGTTGGGAGAACATGTCTAAATTGTTAGGTATCAGCAGCTACTTATTATAAGGGATGTAAGAAAGTGCTGAAGAATTCCATATTTCCTCTCAGAAACTATTATGTAAATGTATAAAAATTGTATTATTTTAATGATGGCATGAAGGATTACTGTGGTTACTAATTAAAGACTAGTGTTTTATGGTACCTTTAAAAATTAATTAACAGATTTATTTACTAATTAGCCAATAAGTTTTCTCAAGTCCCGGTATTAACAAGTATTTCTAAATTATTATTATTATTATTATTATTATTATTATTATTATTTTGAGAGGGAGTTTCGCTCTTGTTACCCAGACTGGAGTGCAATGGTGCGATCTTGGCTCACCGCAACCTCCACCTCCTGGGTTCAGGCAATTCTCCTGCCTCAGCCTCCTGAGTAGCTGGGATTACAGGCACGCACCACCATGCCCAGCTAATTTTTTGTATTTTTAGTAGAGACGGGGTTTCACCATGTTGACCAGGATGGTCTCGATCTCTTGACCTCGTGATCCACCCGCCTCGGCCTCCCAAAGTGCTGGGATTACAAGCTTGAGCCACCGCGCCCGGCCAAATTATTTTTTTTAAACGTATGTTATTTTCATTTAAAAATAGTTTCCAAACTGGGGTATTTAGCATTCTGGCAAAAAAACAAAAAACAAAAAACCACAAAAACAAACCTACTGTACTCCCAACTTATTCCTAAGAGACTACTAAACCACTGGAAGTAAATTATTTCCCCCTAATATATAATATCTACTTGAACAAATTTCTGGCTTAACATTTTCTACTTGATTCGGGGCAAAACAGGCTTTTAAATATAGCTGAATGTAGGGGATAACAAAATATGCTGCAAAATGTCAGAAAATATAAATTGCTATGTATTTTATATTAACTGATTCAAGAGCTAAACTGATTCAAGAGCTAAACTGATTCAAGGCTAAAACTATCTTTTTAATGTAAACTATACTATACTGTGCATTTAAGGGTAATTTTATTTTAACTACCTTTGGCATATCAAAAATATACAGACAATGCATTTTTACAATATTGAAGCTGGGAATTTTTGTTTTCTTTTTCTTTTTCTTTCTTTCTTTTCTTTTCTTTTCTTTTCTTTTTTTTTTTTTTTTTTTTTTTTTTTTTGACAGCAGTTTACTGTCTGTGAAAATGATACCTAAGAGTCAAGGAATTAGTTTGAGACTAAACCAAGTGAATTAACCATAAGCAAAAACCAAGAAATGGTAAAAAGAAAAATGTTGATACCTTTTCCTAGTTTGATTTCAAACCATGAATTTTCATGAATTATAAAAAAACAAGTAGTTCTAGATAACAGCAAAGAAGCATAACTTCCTTGTTTTATTTTTATTCAAAATACATGTCGACAGTCCCCCTACAAAAGCTCTTTGAAAGCTGCTTTGCATTGTATACATTCACAACATCACCAAGCTTGCTGCAGTGCCCAGAGCTGGGTTCTCACCTGCAGGGATATACGCCGGCTGGGGGAGCGGCAGGTTAGTCAGAGCCTGTTGGCAGTGGAAAACACCGGGATTAAACACCGGGGTGGCACCGTTTGGCTTTTCCAGTGCTGATCTCTTTGGTATCAGTTGCAGTGTACCAGGCTGCAGGGCCTGTAGGGCGAGAGATGGTACTAGTACTAGAGAAAGTAACAAATGTACTCAAACGAAGCAAGCACCACTTACATAAGGTACGTCCTAGAAATCCTCCATAACGGTATCCATTGGGCAAGACATTGGATAAGCAGTGGCCCCACAGCAACGTAACCAACTGCAGAGATAAGGGGGTTCACAGCTGTGTGCAGTGGCTCATGCCTGTAATCCCAACACTTTGGGAGGCTGAGATCAGCAGATTGTTTGAGCTCAGGAGTTTGAGACCAGCCTGGGCAATATGGCAAAACCCCATCTCTACAAAAAAATAGAAAAATTAGCCAGGCATGGTGGTGCATTCCTGTGGTCCAGCTACTTGGGAGGCTGAGAGAGGACTGCTTAAGCCCAGCAGGTCAGGGCTGCAGTGAGCTGAGACCACACCACTGCACTCCAGCCTGAGTAACAGAGTGAGAGCCTGTCTTAAGGGAAAAAAGAAAAAAAGGCAGTCCACTAGATGAGCAGTAATCCAAAACTGAAAAAAATGCAAAAAGAAAAAAAAAAAAAAAGGGTTTTCAACTTCACTAATTTAGACCTCATTTGAGCAGGATGTGACAAAAATCTATTACAGCAAACAATCATTTAAAACTAATATCTCAGGGATACTCATCTATGAATCTATAGAAGTGAGATTAGCAGAAGCAACAGATATAGCAGGAAAGACATTTCTGCCAGATAAAACTCCAATACAGATCTAGGACATAAATGGCATATAGGTGATAAAACAGATGTTGGTAGATAAGAGTCTGACACTGTCATCCCATAAAATAAAATCCAATTTATATAAACACTTCCAGTTCAAATCCTAAAACTGTATATTTCCTAACATGTAAGGAAGAAGCAAATGAATATATCCTCCCCCACCGCCTACTCATCCAGGTACTATATAGATAGTAAGCAAAATATATGCAGTTCTTATTTATGGAGGCTTGCTATGCATTTCAGTATGTACCATTTGCTTTAAGTTCTTATAAGGCTTAATTCTAAAATCTTTTAGCATTTTAAAAGTATCCTTTCATGTCTACAGTTTTTTCAAGATCTCACTGTGCTTATAATAATCAGTCAAACTTGCCCCTGGATCAGATTCTTTGGAGAAGTTTAACACTACTTTACTTTTTTTTTTTTCTCTCAGCAAACTGCACGTTACTTAATAAACATGTCCCAGCAACAACAATTAGGTATGTTCCAAATTTTTAAGGAAACAGGAATACTTGTGTTCAGTAACCATCCTGCCATGTGTCCAAAGGGTAATGCCATGACCTCGTTCCTGTGAATAACAAAGGTCTCAACGTATCTCTATTTTCTTTTGGGAACTCTAGGTTAGTGCACACATTGCAACAGGTCTGCTTTTTATTTCACCTAAATGAAGAGAAACATGCCAGAAGAGTAAGATAAAATAAGTTGAGGAGCTTTAAAAACAAAATTTCCAAATTTATCCCAGCGGGCCAGATGACAAAGGTCAAGATTAAAATCAGAAACTATAAAACAAAATCTGTTATTTCAAATGCTTTTTATCACCATTGGGAGAAAATAGTTTTGCTGAACATTTTAACTGACTAAGGCAGACGACTTACTTAACGGATTGTTAAAAAGATTTCCCTTTGGTATAAATGGGGAGTATCCCTTTCTCTTGAAAGTTGGCAGCATGGTATGATCATCAGAACCAAAGTTATGTTGCCTAGTAAACTACAAATTGGGGCGAAACCTAGAAGAACATTTGACAGGTAGATGCTGGTAAGGTAGTATGGCTTGTTTATGGCTGGGGTTTATCCTGATGGGTCAGTGCCCGGTTCCGATTGGCTGGTGCTTGTACTATTAAACTCATAAACCTGTCAGAGAGGTGTGAGACTGTGGATGAACTAAGTATCAACCCTTCATGTCTTTTTTTGTTTATTTTTTAATACAAATTGCTTTTCGTGAACTCAACATGAGCTATATACATGAACAAGGTAAAAATCTCTTCTACAAAGCATGAGTCCTTAAAAAATACAAAAAGCTTGAATTTCTTCGTGAATCCCTCCTTTATTTAATCTTACCTCTATCAAATTCCTATGGGCCAACTTGATCTCACTGCTAAGATCCTGCTGTGATCAGTTACTTAAAAGGGAATTTTATGTTGCTATTCACAAATAACAATTGAAGACCTATGATGTAATATTTAGCTCTCTACATGGAAATTTGGGGCTGACTTGTAACCTTTGCATTCTATCAAACGCACTCAAATAATCAGAAATGGACAGCTGCATACAAAGCCATTTTCATAGCTGAAATTTCTCCCATTCAAAAGCATTTAAGACAAAAAGCATTTGGTAAAGTCTTTTTAAATATTCATTAACAGACTACGTTGCTCCGATCAAGGGAGAAAATAAGTTTGTTCTACTTTGGTGCTCAGATCCTTCATGATGTAATGAGTTCAGTTCTGAAAAAAAAGCAGAGCCAGTCCGAAAATGGTACTGTGTCCTTGAAACCATGACCTGCTGGCAAAAGTAGGAGAAATTTGCAGTATTTGGCTTAGAGAGGAAACATGACAGTCACTCTCACTTGGAACAGAGATTGACTTCTTTTGTGAAGTTCCAGTTGCAGCAAGATAAATTTCAACTCAGTATGAGGAAAACCTTCTTAATAGGGATGTTTGAAAATAAGCGTCTCTCTGTTGTGAATAGGCAAAGTCTCTGTCATGGGAGTCTGAACTATGAATGTTTGCGAGGAGATTGAGCTCACAGTGCATCTCCCAGGCTTCAGGGTCATTTCAGTGCTTTTTCCACACCCAGGGAACATGAGGTTTCCTGTGGGTTTTGTCCTTTATTGGGGCTGTTATGCCTTATTACACAAGGAAAGGTCCAGGTAGAAAAAGAAAGACATACTAGCAAGCAGCACATCAAAACAATGGACAGCTGTGGCAAACTTCAGTCACAAGAATTGCTCGTTTTAAGTGATCACACTGCAGTGTTACACAAGTATTTTTCCTGCTTCCTACCTTTCAGTGTTACTAAGCAGCACTAACTGTTCCCCTAAAATTGGCTTTCTACGGCAACTTAAAAGTTAGGCCTCTGGGCGGGGTGCAGTGGCTCATGCCTGTAATCCCAGCACTTTGGGAGGCTGAGGCAGGTGGATCACCTGAGGTCAGGAGTTCAAAATCAGCCTGGCCAACATGGTGAAACTCAGTCTCTACAAAAAAAAAATACAAAAATTCGCCGGAAGCAGTGGCACGTGCCTTTAGTCCTAGCTACTCAGGAGGCTAAGGCTGGAGAATTGCTTGAACCAGGGAGACGGAGGTGGCAGTGAGCCGAGATCTTGCCACTACACTCCAGCCTAGGTGACAGAGCGAGACTCCATCTCGAAACAAAAAAACCAACCAACCAACCAACCAAACAAACAAAAAAGTCAGGCCTCTGCTCCCAACCACATAAAAATATCCCTCTAGACTAAGCAGGCTCCTCTCCTTGATACTATGCCTTCAGAGAGGAAGGTGGCCTTAACCTTTAGGAAACTGGAACCTACTTAATATCCTATGTTTTAAGTGTGCTGTTTTTAAAGGCATTAAGGATGTTAGTAGCAAAGTGCCCATGAAAGTGGCTCACAGAGCAGAAGCAACTTTCTGCCCCTCTAGGATATTGAGGGTAGTGAAACTATAAAAGCACTCAAAAATAACTGACTGTTTAAATCATATAATTTATCCTTTCTCTGAAAATGGGAAAAAGAGCACAGTAGGTTAAAAGCATTAGTAAAGCTTTTAAATAATTATCTTTAGAAAATCTTAGTACATAATGTAGAATAAATAGGTTTGTTCTTTTCCAGCTTATAACCTTGACTGTTCATATTAAGGTCCACTCATGACCATCCATTATTATGGTTACAGGATATTAGACAAATTGAGGAATATACAAATCATTTACTCTGAAACAGGCCACAAGTGCAGGTCTTTTCTTACCATGGCAGCGGAATGGTTCATCTGGTGATGAGCTGCCTTGAGTTTGGCTTGCAAGTGTGCAGGAGGATGAAAGTACTTGCATTTCTCCCGGGAGCATCGACCTTTGATGTAATCCATGCAGATTGTCACAGTATTATCACCCACTTCAATCATGGAAGCATCAGTAGGGTGAGCATAGCGGCAATCATTCTCCCCACGGGTACAATTTCCACGCTGAAACTCTCGGCAAACCTTAGAGAGAACACACACACGCATATACACACATACCATATTGATGTCTGGAAGCTGATTGGCTTTTATTTATTTTGCCAGTGAATGTAAGAGTAAATTATACATACATTGGATATATTATTTAAGAACAAATCTAAAAAGATAAAGAATAATGTAAAGCCATATTCACTATGAGATGTGAACGGACAGAATTTCTATTCCCAGAAAAAAAAATTGCTATTCTCCTCAAAGGAAGGTTATCCTTACGTTGAAATAAAAATGTTTAAAAGTATTACCGAAAACCAGTTTTAATCCTCCAGTTAATACACAGCCTTAAGCATAATTAGTTTTTTTTGAAAGTCCAAGATGAGTCTTTATCACACAGCAGTGCATTGGTGGTTTTCCACAGTCAACTTGTGAACTATAACTGAGATATATGTACAATCAAATTCTATTACAATACATCACCAGGCATTTAAGGGGCTGCAAATGGAGCTGACTTTGTAAAGAAAAGACTAGTTATTTCAATGTACAAAGAATAACAAGAGAAGAATGAAGGACTTCAATAAATCAAAAAGCTGTTTGAAATTTCTTTTAGATTTTCTTTTCTTAGGCATCTGGGGTATTTATTACCTAGCACATCAGTCTTAAAATGGAGAAAGAAGTTTAGGCACTATGAGACTTATTTACCTTCTGTATTCATATAGCTTTACATTCTGCAATCATAGAGAGTTATATTGTCTACTTATTCCCACTTTGATTATTCTAGCAAGTAGAGACTCATTAACAATACAGTAATCTGTTTCTGAAAGCTGGAGCCTGGGTAACAGGAACATTCCCACAGAGGCTTCCTGTGCCATCTCACAGTCTATGGCTGGGTACACTTAAAATATTGTTTGACCTACGATACAGCTGAATCAATGCACATTATATCAAGGTATGATTGCAGTAGTAAAATTATTTAACATTTTTCTGAGGTTATACCCCATAGGCTAAAAAATTTGGGTACTCTTATTTAAAACACACAACACATGGGGCTCTGAGAATGCTGCTTTATCCATAAGGTTAATATCTATTCTACAGGTATTTATAGATATCTTCACAAATACCTCCAGTTTATCTGAACGCATCGGTTTTGGGCCAATGGCTCCTGTCAATGCGAGAGGTGGGTTTCCAGGAATCAGAACGGGTGTATTTGGTACAAGTTCCGCTGGAACCAGGCCCATCCCAGGATGTGGTATGTAAGGATTGAAAGCCATGGGAGGATTTGGAAGTGACGGAGCCATAGGAAAAGAACCCTGTATGGTTAAAAGAGAAAAAAAGATGTTAGAGGTAAACAGATTCTTCCTATCGTTACACATGGAGGCTTTCTTTCAGAAACATCAAAATTACTTACGCCACATCAAAATCTACCATTGTTTCTTCTGATTTATTTTTAGTCTTATACTAATTCCCATATAAGAGTTGCTTTTAAGCCAACAAATCTCTTTAATAACTTTATTGTAAGCTGATAAAATAAGCCACATGATTTTAACACTCATGAATTAGCCAAATTAAATCTCAATGCTAGAGTCTGTTCCAAACATGTTTCCTTCAACTCTTTCTTTTTTCCCTAAAAACCATGTCAACAATGACATTACATATATGGACCGTCTTCCTTGTTTCCTTACACAGGCATGGCCTTTGCATTCAGTCTGTTTCCTTTCTCCTTCCTCTTCCCCATCAATACTGCTTGGCTGTAAGGCAGTGTGTCCTACCACAGGCCCTATCTGTATGACCAAACACTGGCTGCGCTTCTCTCTTCTTGGTCCGCTGACAATTACGGAACACAGGAAGGAGTTGAGGAAGAAAGGGGTAAATTAGAAAAAGTGAGTCCTTTAATATCTATTTACAATGAGTTTAGTAAAGTCCATTATATTTTGTTATTTTTTTAAATTAGAGGTCCTGTTTTTGTTTAATTTTTAATTTTTATGTGTACATAGTAGGCATCTATATTTTGATACATGCATACAATGTGTGATGATCACATCAGGGTAAATGGAGTATCTATTTCCTCAAGCATTTATCATTCCGTTGTGTTACAAACACTCTAAGTATAGTTTTTTAGTTATTTTTAAGTGTACAAGAAATTATTGTTTACTGTAGTCATCCTAGAGGTCCTGTTTCACAAGCTAATCTGACTTGCATAGCCTTGTCTTTATCTAGGGGGCCAGATGATACTCATAGTTCAAAAGAAGACACCAGAAATGCTACAGGAATCCCTGTTAGGCAGGAAGAGATAAGATAAGAGGATTATATGGTATACAAACCAGAATGTAACTCACAAAAAAAACAAAGCCTCCGAAATACAAAAAGCTATTACTGCTTTTTCTATTTTCAAAGATCCTGGACCAAAAAGTTTAATATGTGTATTTCCTTTATTATTTGTGGCCATATTATTTATCACTTTGCTGTTTTCCAGTTTGTTCCACATGTGGGTATCTTTTCTTATCAATGTGGTTTTATTTCTTTGATAGTTCTCATCTGCCCTATAGCACCCAACACTTAGTGAATGACTGGTTGACAGATATACTCACTGACACATTTTAAAAGTTTAATGAATACTAAATCATGACTAAATGTATATTTCTAATCATGACTCTATAGTTATTGTGAAACTGGTGGTGTCTCACTGTGTATTACTAATCACATGTGTTCTTTCTTGCTTTTTACAATTTTTTTCACTGAAAAAAAGCCCTGAATTTGTAGCATTTGCCAAACTGTGCCCATACCTGCTAAGTTACATTAATAGAAACAACTCTAAATACAGATTGTGGAATATAAAGTGAGGAGCAATGTATATTATTGCCCCATCCCCACACAGACTTGAAATTGTCACCCACATAGCATTCCAAGAAGAGCCTGTTGTAAACCATATTCAGTTTAGAAGGAAGCACTCCCCTATCAGTGTTCTACCTTAGGTGAGTTTATCAAATTAGCTGATTGCGACATCAGGAAGGGCAGGAAGGATCTGGCACCAAAAAACTGGCAAGACTCACGGGGGTAAGTAGAAAAGGCATAGCTGCCAAGAGGTTTAAGTAGAAAGGGAATGCCAGGTGCCAGGAAAGATGATGGAGTACTCAGGAGAGGGACTCTATAAAGTTTGGGGGCAAATAGCCAAGGGCTGACCCAGTCTAACTAGGTCTTATGATGTAACAGACTACAGGAATATGGGTTAGTTGTCATGGAATGAGATGTTAAGCTCAGGAACTAGCTAATGTGACATTATTTTATATGATGAGAAGGAAATTTTCTGAAAACAGCCACCCAGGCAGGCTTCAGCAATAAAGCAGACTTTATCAATGTAATGATTCATATTCATAGTCATCTCAAGATCAGCAAGAATCTCTGGTGAGAAAAACTGCATTTTTGAAGCACACAATAGTGCACTTCACTTGAGTTTTTGTTGTCTCCGACTTTTCCTGGTAAATTTCTCACTGAAGTCACCATCCCATTCTCCTGCAAACGTTTTGCTTTTGCCTTTTACAAAACTGAGTGGGACCATTATTGCATCTACTAATTTTTGAACTGAAAAACCTGGAGATGGGAGAATTTTCCAGATTAAAAAGTTATTAATCACTAATAAATGCTGATCAATTAACAATACTGAAGTCTAATATATGTGTAAGCAATGCTTTCTGTTTATGGTATCTTTTTACTTCTGTAATTTTTTTCTTTTCTTTTTTGGGGTGACTCACCAGGGAAATTCTCCTAGCTAAATTCTGCTTTTTTAGGGAAATACTTTTAAACTTTCTTAGATTTGTTATCTGTTCCACATGTATGGAAAAAAGCTATAAATTAATGATTCGTCTATATATAAAATGTAAAGGGATTGCTGAAAGCATTTAGGTTTTTCAAAGGTTTTACCACAAACTATACTATGCTATCTTTAGATCTTAAAATGAGTATCCTAGCTCTTATAATCATTTCCTCTTTGAGTATGAAATACATTCTATAACACTGTTTATTGAGAAGAAGCAAGCTGTTCCATTCTCAATCCTGGGGCAGAGGCAGGAACTCCTGAGTGGCTTATTTATTTTCGGTTGGACATTTCTGTTTTCTCACCACCACCTCTGCCCCAGGGTAACTACTCCATTTCATGAATTTGAACATTCAAGGGCTTAGCATTGACTAACAGCCACAGGTTAAATCAAGCAGCTTGCAAGCTCACAAGCTCAGCTTTAATAAGCAACTTTAATCCTGTCTCTACATATATCTCAGCCCTTGATGTCAGTTGAGCTAACATGAACCTATCTGTGGGTTAATTTTTATTATACAGGAAAAGGTTTTAAATACGTTGCCTCTGATTTATCTTTATAGCCTGAAATGGTCTGAACACTTAAATGTTTCAGATATTTACATTCTAACCTAAATCATTTACTAAATACTTGAAAATAAGAGAAGGCTCTCCCTCCCATAACCAGGTATAAATTTTCATCTTTCTGAGTCTTGTCAACCAGCAAGAATGATGACAACAGGCTTTATGAACAAGACTACCTAACAACTATTCCTCCCCATGTCTCTAGTAGTATCAGTTCCTACAGTAGAAATTCCCATGAGTTCCCAGTGACTTGCAGAGTACTTAGGAACTATCAGGCACTCAGGAAATGTGTCCTAAGAATTAATGAAATGTCTAGAGAACAGTGGCTCCTAATCTTTTTTGAGTCTAGGACTTCTTCAAGAGTCAGATGAAGGCTGCGGACTCTGTCCACAGAAAAATTCACGTATGCAAAAAATGTTGCTTGTGATCCCAACAAGATCAAGGACCCCATGACACTCACTCCTGGTGTCGGGTTATGAACTACTTAGTGGTTAAGAATCTCTGTTCTAGAGTAAGGCTCTACACAGCAGGGCCAGTAAGCCAAATTCAGCCAGCAGCCTAAGAATGTTTTTTACAGTTTTAAATGATTGAAAAAAATTAGGAGAATAATATTTGATGAAACATGAAAATTATAGGAAATTCTTAATCCAGTGTCCATCTACAAATTTCTTTGTGCTCATTAGTAGACCTGAATTACAAAAAACTGTAAATATTTATTTCCTCTCTTGTTATATAAGTATCTATATAATACCCTCAACTTTGCCTCTTGAACCTCACAGCCTAAAATATTTATATCTAGCCATTTATAAGAAAGTTCACCGACCTTGGTTCTAAAGGATTTCAAAAACTAAAATTATCCATCACTTTCTGGAGTAAAGCACCAATTATATATATATATATATATATATATATATATATATATCTCAAGATGTAAATTTAATATTTGTAGCAAGATTCCACAAATTGAAAATATTTGACTTTGTAAACCAATAATGTATTCACTAAAATGTTCTTTTAAATATTTATATTAGGATTCTTAACGATTTGTTTATAGAACAATTATTACTCAGTGACTAAGAATAGGGAAATAGTTGGAATCCTATAAAGGTAAATTTTTAAGAGCCACCACAGATTGCTCTTAAAGGATTCTGAGGCAATGCAATTTAATGCAAAACTATGCCTCAAATAAATTTCTAGTTTGCACACACTTTAGGAATAGTGACTTAACAGGTTATTCCTCAAGCTAGTATAAAGAAATACAAATTAAATGTTATGCCAAATCAATCTTTGTATCTCCTCAGTAGCCTAGATCTATTTGTAGTTACCTCAAAAATATCCAAGATTGGTTACAATTATTGTTAAGTGAATGTAAAATCTTTCAAAATCCTGGCCTAAGGTCAACAGAATAATCGGGGCCTTCCATCTCTGAGTTCCTGTCTAGAATTGAATGATTAGACATTTTCTTTTACAAAAGGGTAAACATTTGATAACAATTTGTTGACTCAATTTTCATACAAGAAAAATAGCATTCCTAAATTTTACTAGCATCACAATATCTTCATTTTACTGCTCATTTGCAAACATTTATATAATACAAAAGGAAACCCCTTTTATGGCCATCATGCATATTTCTATCTTTAGATAATTCCAAAATGCACTGAAATACCTATTTTTAATTTCTATCCAACTTCACTTACACACAGCACAATTGAATAATCTCTCACAGTATTTGCTTGATCGTTTCCACACTCCTTGAGTAATATTCCAAGGGGACTGAAGTGGCCAAAATGCAGGCTGCAGGAGACCCACATAACCTCCAGATTAGTTGCAAGCTGATAGTGGTGTTTATGTGCCAATTGTACTTGTTATTGAGTAAGTCACCATGGCTCTAGAGAGAGCTAAGAAAAAAAAGTTCAGGGGTCAAAAGGGAACCATTGT